GAAGCAGTATGGCTCCAGAGAATGGCAACAGAAAGGAAGGGAAATAGCAGATGGAGGATCCAGGAAGAAGGACAGAAGTACTAAACAGTGCTGCTCATCCTCCTGTGTGCTAATCTGGACCTCTTCTTAGTAAAAGAAAGCCCCTTTTGCATCCAGAATGCTTTTCCTCCAAAATGAGTCAGGCGGCTGAAGTACGAAGCCAGGACAAGATACTGGAGAGGCTTCTCATTTACGCTCGACACTGGTCAGGTCTCTCTTCCAGCCGTGGCCCCTCATTAGCTCAAAGAGCCCAGTCTGCTTCCGGGAAGGTTCTTAAAGTCAATCCTAAGGGTAGCATTCAGTTCCACCACCGTGGCTAGTGGCATGGTGCCCAAGGTTGCAACTTGAGCAATGATTTCCTGCTCCTAAGGTCACCTAGCAAGCTATGCACCCCAGGAGTCACGGAAGACGCTTTGTGCTCCTCTACTCCATCTGTGAGCCGGCATATTGAAGGACAATTGTTTTTATTTTATTTTTATTGCACCTTCTAGGCTCCAGACTCACTGGAGACATCCTGACACATAATGCCTTGTCCGGCACAATGCGATGCCCTTTGCCTAGTCTCCTGAAGGTGCTGCCTCCCCTCCAGAACAAACAACGGAAATGCATCAGGAGGGCTCAGCTGCAGACAGAACGCACCTCCAAGCAGGAGCCGCTTGGGGATTCCTCAGATGAAAGCAGATTTCAATGAACATTGTGTTTCGAAGCCTGCTTCCTCTCAGCCGGCAAGGGCCGTAGAAGGAACATCCCACTTGCCTCTGCTGACACAAAGGAATGCTGTGGCTGGGAGATCTTATCCAACCTTCCTGTGCCTCAGCAACAGAGCTCCGGTTGTGTCTTGTAAGAATTGCTCATTGTTTCTTGGGGACTACTGGCTTCTTGGGGTGGGACCTGATGGCATCTCTGGAGTTGGAGGTAGTAGGTGGTGCTGGGATGTCAGCCAGCTACAGGCCCGGACTCGCTGGCTTCACGGAAGTCGGGAAGAGGAGACTCTTCTCTGGCTTTCTGGGTGGTGAACAGCTCATCATTTAAAGCTCATCATTTAAAGTTTAAACACGACTTGCTTACTAGTCTCTTCGATTGGACAAGCTGAGGAGACAGAAACAAGAGTAACTTCGTTGACAGAAAGTGTTTCTGTTTTGGTTTTTTGGTTTTGTTTTGTTTTAACCACAGCTGTTTGATTTGCTGTTGATTATTTATAAAACTGAGAAGAATCAGAAAGTGTTTTGAAAACAGAAATGTAATGATTAAAATATATATAACTGGAGGATTTAGATGCCTTATTTGTATTTTCAGCTTATATGACATAAACCTCAAACATATGTGTTTGTCCAGTGAGGATGAGCTTCCAGTTTTAAATCACTGTAATTATAAAGAAGAATGTAGGTTAATAACATTGGACCAGTTAGAGTGGGCCAATCTTAGATACTGTCTCCTTTATTCGGAAAGTACATGGTTTTCCTTCAGTAAGGAGACCATGAGGGTTACCTGTTCGGCTACACAAAGAACAGGGTTTTATTTTCTTCCTGTTCCTCTTCCTCTTCCTCAAGGCCTGCTGGGGCATTTATGACACACAAGAACCATATAACTGAGAGTAACGCCATGCAGTGAGGAGTGAGGGTGATCAGGAGTTCTCTGAAGAAGCAAGAATCACTTGTCTGCCTGTCACTTTGTTCAGAGTTCATAGGATCACGACATCACCAAACACCTCCTTTATTCTCAACATGCTAACTGAAATTTTCACATATGGTCCTTAGTGAGGAATAAATTTCTCTCTCCCTTTAGTGAGCTGTGAGCGGTTCAAGGAGAGTTGGTTCACATTCATCTTCCTATTTCCAGTGTCTAGAACAATATCTTGTCATGTATCTAGTGACTGGATGGATGGCTGAATGCCTACGTTATACTGTCTAACATATTAACCTATAAGATTTGTATATTTAGTGATTAGATGGCTAGCTGGATGCCTATGTCATAGTGTCTAACATAGCAACAAGTGGAGACTCACATATCTGGTGATCAGATGGGTGGTTGGGTGCCTAAGCTATACTGTCTAACATAGTAACCAATGAGATTCATATATCTAGTGAGTAGATGCTGGTTGGATGTCTACGTTATACTGTCTAACATATCAAGTAAAGGGTTGTCTACACAGTTCTTGGCATCACTGTACCTGTTGATCATCTGTGCTTTTATTGGTGTACACACAGATGCCCAGAACATAGAAGTTTTCAAGATTGCATAGTCTTTCTCCTTTAGTTACAGCTGAGATGAGATTCAGAGAGAGTCAGATTCATTCATAGTCATATATTTAAGAAATATGGTACAGCCCTTAGCTTTAAAAAATGTATATCTTTTGATTGGCAGTCAAATGCCCACTGTTGCTTTCACTGTTGGGGACCCAGAGGCACCCTGTGGAGGGATCTGACACTCCTGGCTGATCAGGGCAAAGTGAAGTGAGTGTGGGCCAGAGAGAAATGAGAGAAAGGAATGGCTTGGGGCTTGAGCAACCACATGCTGATGCTGTTAAGAAAGCTAACAAGGATGCCTCATCTGTATTCAGGCTGATCCTATTCGATGTATGCCTCAGATGTCCCATTCAGAATTCACTGGCTGATGTCTCATCCCTGGGTTACCAAGGTAACCTCTGGAGGTAGTGCTTCCTAGCTATACTTCACTGGAGATGGTTTCTGTTTGATCTGGAGGAATCCAGGCTTCAGAAGCCCTATCCAGAGAGACGTATTCCTCTCCACTTACTGGTGAGGCTGATCTAATGATTATAGCTCTAGCTCTTCCTGCTACGAGGAAATCACTTCTGATAACCTGGTTGCTTCTTAGAAATTTGTTTCCATCAAAATTTGAATTGTACAGCCTAAGTAAATATTTAGAAAACATATTAAAGTAATAAATGTGGCATTTATATTTGCATATATTTATATGTGCATACATCCTTACAACAAAATGAAAAAGAAATACCCATTATTATATTATTTATGTCTGTAACTAGTCATGTGGCCACAGATGAAATTTGAAAACCATTTTTTTCCATGTCCCTTCCAGTCCAGCAAATACTTGGGTTGGTTATAGATCCTAGTGTAATAGTGTGAACCAAATCTTTCTTCTCAAAAGGTCTGGGTCATTAACAGTTGTACTAAGTGAGTAATTGGTTTTTATTGCTTTTAATTAGAGAATTTGGGAGGAGTCAGAGGCAACTTATAAGATTTTCAGCTTTTGAGTACATGCTTCCCTTTACTCTCCCATGTAGAAACAGTTTCCTTGAAACCACTTCTTTTTCCCTGGAGATTCAATGTCATGAGTCAAAAAAGTCTGGTGACATTCTAGTTCAGTCAACTCATAACATGTCTCGCAGTGAAGCCTTCTTCTTTCTGGAACTAAGATTTTGGGGTGGTTTGAACAGGTATGGGCCTGATAGACTCATGTGTTTGAATGCTTGGCCTATAGGGAATGGCACTTCTAGGAGTTGTGGCCTTGTCAGAGGAAGTGTGTCACTTTGGGGGTGGGCTTTGAGGTCCCATATGCTCAAGCTATGCCCAGTACGGTGCACAGTCTCTTCATGCCGCCTGCAGATCAAGAATTCTCAGCTCCTTCTCCAGCACCTTGTCTGTCTGCACAGTGCCATACTTCCTGCTGTGATGATAATGGACTAAGCCTCTGAAACAGTAAGTCATCCCCAATTAGATGTTTTCCTTTCTAAGAGTTGCTGTGGTCATGATGTCTCTTCACAGCCATAGAAACCCAAACAAAGGCAGATCCTTTGACCATGAGAGCCTGGTGACTCAGGAATGTGAAGTATAAGATGTGTTTAGTAGATCACTAGTAGTCATAGTGAGATATTCCTTTCATCCCTTGAGTTCCTGATTTTCTCTTAAATCTTACGGTGGGAAAAACATAAATACAAGTTGATTTAGGTCAAACTTAGCATCTTAAAGAAGAGTAAGTGGGCCTTCAAATAATGCTCTGTCGTCTATCTAACTAGTGAAGAGCACAGTAAGATCAATAGATGACATGAAGCCATTTCTGTACCTCATTGGCCATGAAATAATTCCCAGTCGGCAGTGATAGTGTGTGAAATTCATTATGTTCCCGGTGTGAGGGGTGGGGGATTTAGCAGAAACACTGTGGGCATGGAAGCCAAATGTGTATTCACAGTAAGTCTCTATTCTGGTAACAGAAAATACTGCCTCTTCCATGAGGAAAATGACCTGATATAAATTAATCTGCCAATAGATTTCCTACTAGGAGCCAGAAATGACGCCAAGTCTTTTGAAGGCCGGTGCTATTTGAAGACTGGGCACTCAGTGGGAACTATGATAAGTAGAAGTCCATGTTGCTGAGACATAATTTCATGAACCATTTGGATAGTGACACGAGTTGTTGGGGGGAAAAGCTTCCTGAGAAACACAGAATGACTAAACCTATCCAACTGATAGTTAAAATCCTCCTCTGTTGAGTTCACCATTTGTTGAGAATTTTCACAAGACACAATATTTAAGCCAATTCTAACTCATATGGAACACAAATATGCAGGCAACCAAGCTACCTCTCTCTCAGATTTCCTTTTCTATAGTTTAAAATAATGTTCCTTCTAACCCTGAACCGTGAGTTGCTGCGTATTTATGCTTCTGTACACCACACCTTTCTAGCAAATGAAATAACCAAGTATACTGCTTGAGGTTCCATACACCAGGAAGGCTCCCTTCTGTCACTGACATGCAAGGCCACATGAAGAGAGGGCCCTGGTGTGCATTTTAGCTTAAAGTGTCTAGTTTTGAGCGATGTCTGCCTAATACGCAGACTCATCTGTAGCCTGGATGTTGGATTTCTCGTTCCTCTTTCATCTGGTCATAAGAAGCTCCCCCATGAGGTTCACTGGAATAGGTCGAGAGAAAGACCACATTAAGACAAGCAGGACCCACGTATATATAAGCCACTTACTCATAAAGCATATTGTTGCCTTCCCACACACTCAAGCCTAAGTCTGTGTACACCACCTGCATGGAGGGCTGCAATGCATGCTGACATTCAGCATCAGAAAACACTGGTCAGGGGTAGCTCAGGCCACACTGCAGCTTGGTGATCCAATGGCCCAGTAGCAAGACAAAAAGTTACTTCACAGAAGAATCATCATCTGCAAGCTGCTCCAAAATGTCACTGGCATCACAAGCTTTGGGTAGATTATTTAAGGATGGAGATCTCTGTTCAAGAAAAAGGCAAGCAGTTATACTCAAACATTATCAGCTTTTCTCAAAAACCCATTTAAGTTACTTTTTCTTGCCTACAAAGCATTGATTCTATAGTGTGTGTGTGTGTGTGTGTGTGTGTGTGTGCACTCGCACACACACGATTGTGTATGTGTTTCCCACCCTGGGGAGATTATCAAAACAGATGTTTCCAGATTATTACTTTTTAATAAATAAATATTTAATAGTATGAAAATATATTCACAGTAGGAGTGTATTGTTTATCAGCGTTTTTCCTAGTGAGACCAAGATTTGTTTAGCTTTAAGATCTCTCTCTCTCTCTCTTTCTCTCTTTCTCTCTTTCTTCCTTTCATGTTCAAAGAATTTGAATTTGCTTTCAAGTTTAAAAATGTGCTGCAGGCAGAAGGCAGTGTGAAATACTCTTGCATTATAATGAAGAGAGAGGCTCAAAATTTGTTCTCCAGTCTGTCTGAGATGCTGCTTGGAGGCAAATGAGTTTTGTGATTCCTGAATCCACTGTCCTTGGACTGTAGAATAGCTGTGCACAGTCAGCAGGCTTTTTCTTTTGTTTCTGGTCCATCCTTTCAGGGAAGCATGATAACCAGTAATAATCTCCTTATTCATAAATTCCCTTTAAAAATGTGAAGACCATATTTTTCTGTGTAAGGAGCATGTGAGGGCATGTGCTCAGTTCTGCTGAGATTGGAAGAATGTTCACCATGGAGAATAGTTCCAGGGAAAGCAAGTATGCACTCAACTGATGGGAGAGTGGTCCAGTCTCAGATCAATGCACCATTTCCTGATAAAGGGACTTGTCCACCCTACAGTGCTGGTGTTTCTAAAAATTCCCACCACAGAATAATAGCTGTCAACACCTGTCCCAGATACAGAAAGCTGGAAAATGCTGCAAGTGGAAAGAGACTTCAGTACAAAAACAATTTTGTCATTTTAGTGACAAAATTACTCTTATGTGTTAGTTTGCTAAATATATATCATCTTTGACATAGTATCCACTGAATAACTTTTAACGAATATATAATTAGCTAATTGAGGAAGCAAGGAGTTATTTGGCTCTTCAGAGAGCAACTCGTTCTATACCAAAAGGACTCTGGTTTTTTTCTTCATTATTATGGTCTTTGAAATTTACAAATTCAAATAAGGTTGGTCCTTAGAACTAGTGCCTGTTAGGATTACAATAGACAAAGACCCTAAGATTGGACAAAGGAGGGAGGGGCAAAAGAGAATAAAAAATGTTCAGAAACTTTTCCACCATGGACAGCACACACCCTTGTGCAAACAAAGCTTTTGAGTTAAGAGTACATTTTATATTTTTTTTAAAGTGATGAAACGCTTGCTAAGGTCTGGGAGAGGATGAACAATGGTTCTTTTGTATAATCCTCCAAAATTCAGGCCCACGTGCTAACAGTTGGAGGGGAAAGCCTTTTGTTCTAGCTGTTTCCAAATGTCTGTTTCCTTCCTGGAGCCCCAGAAGTTTGAACTGTTGTCAGAAGCAAGAGAGCGTATGTCAGCCACTCTGCCCTGGCATCCGGCCTTGTCCTGACCGGGTCCCTCTTGTTGTTAATCAGCCGGCTCTGACAGGAGACACTCAGCTTAGCTTGTCAATAAGGAGCCACTAGGCAGCTTCTCTTGCTATGTTTCCATCTCTAGAGCCTGCTCGATATCACTCAGTAGTAATCTCTAGTCAGCTGCCCTCATTTCAGTGACCCACACTGGAGTGCTGATGACTACGACTCCTGAAAACACATCTTTGTCACAAGAGTCTCCCTTCCGTCTTCCTCTATTGCCTCTTAGAACCACGAGGTGGGGGAACATGACACAGTACTGATATCTTTAGATTCTTGAGCTCACCATACTAAAAGGCAGTTGCTGAGCTCTGTTGTATAAAATTCAGCACTTAAAGAAAAGACCACAAGTAGTGTTTGCTGTTGTTATTTTGTTTTGTTTTTAAATTAGGTCTGCGGATAATAAGATAGGTTGTATTTATATTTATTTACTTATTAATTTTGGTTTTTTGTTCTCTGTGTAACAACCCTAGGATAGGTTTCATCTGTCTGTCTGTCTGTCTGTCTATCTATCTATCTATCTATCTTATCATCTATCTATCTATCTATCTATCTATTTTTTGTGTGTGTGTGTGTGAGACCAGCTTTCTCTATGTAGTGGAACTTGTTTTGTATACCAGGCCAGCCTCCAACTCACAGACATCTGCCTGCTCCTCTCTCTCTGAGTGCTGTCACTAAAGGTCTGTGGCACGCCACCACTCCCGGATGCGTGCCACAGACCTTTAGTGACACCTCGCCTCCTCCTCTTTTTTCTATCTGACTTTCCAACTGCCAGACCTGGGAACAGCCTGCAGCTCACTGTGGTCATATGCTGCACTATACTTTAGTGCTTGACAGCTTTCAATGAGTTGTCACAAAAGGATGACCTCACTGGGTCCTTGGGTAACCCTGCGAGGTAGGTAGGGTTGCTGGATCCTCTACCACTGGTTCTCATATGAGGGAAGGAAAGAAAAGAAACTATACAACATAGCCAAGGTCAGCGGTCCAAGTGGTATAACTGGATTCCAACAGAAGCATTCAACTTCCTGACTAGCCCCTTGATTCTTTACATTTTTACCCTGTCAATGGGGTCAATCTTCCTCTGTGCAGGAAGGTTGCATGCCTCTTCTGAGTTTACCATTTCTCATGGTAAATGTTGGCAAAATTGTAGCCATAGTTTGCTGGTCTCAGGACCTACACATTTGTCAGGTGACAAATTTTTCTGTTGTATATTCTGTTTTCATAGTAGTTTATTATTTTCTACCCTAATGGGGATTTCCTATTTAAAAATCATAATGGAAGCACTTCTTCAATACCCATTGTCTTTTTTCTTTACTTCTGTGTTCTCTCTTTGTCTGTCTGTCTTCACCCATCTCCTCTTTCCTCATCTTTTCTCTCTGCCTTTATTTTTTTCCTTGTGGCTTTTTAATTTTTTTTTTTACTTTTTGGTGATTATATGCTATAATTGTGGCTAAGATATAAGGGAACAAGGCTTGATATTGTACGATTTCACAGGTTTTCTGTTTCTCTGCTATTTCATCTGTGAAAATTGTTAATAATAATTTTCTATGCAAGTGAAGGGTAGAGAATATTTATGCTAATAAAACATATGGTTAAAAAATGAAGACACCTAATTTGTTGACTTGTTATGTGGGCAGCACCACTTACTCCTCATCTTCTCAAATGAAAATGTTCCACTGAGAGACACAGAGTTCAAGCACAAGTTGATTTACCAAAGCAAAGAGAGATTGGGCTTCTCCAAAGGGAGCTAGAAGCCCAGGAGATTCTGAATGGTGGATTTGAAAGGTATTTTATGAATATTTATGAGGTGGATGGCATATTCACGGTGGTAAGGCAGCCCTTTTCCTGCCCAAATAATGGCCGATTAGATCTCTCTCTAAGGGTATTTCTTTTTATAATTCTCTTTCAAAGCCTATGGGAGGTGGGAGGTGGACCACTGTGTCAAAGCCACAGTGCAACTGATTTTATAATAAAGGCAGTCAGAATGTCTCATATTGATAGTGTTTGTTGATTGGTCTTATCTGACAGGGTTTTCCCCCAAAACAACAATAATGAGGTAAAAAGAAATGATGTGAGTATTCTGGTTCTCTTCTTCTCCTGTTACACTCATCAAGCTGAGAGTCTGAGGTGGGGAGGGATTGGATACCAGCTGTGTGCTCTAACATCCTTCTGTACCCCAAAATCATGGTTCATGTGATCTGAATGCAGCTGCATAATCCAATCATTTCTACTTCTGTAATTCTATCATCAACAAAATTACAGCAACCTATATTTTCAATAAACTTTAACTGCAGGTTTAATTTCATATATATGTATTTTTTTTTGTCACTTAGAAAGCATCGGTGTGCTGAAAGGATTGCACAAGTCTAAAATGGTGCCTCTGGAAAGAGAAATAAAACTTCCCTGCAGGAGTGAACAGGTTTTTCAAAGGAAGGGTGTCTCTGTCTTTTAGTTGCAGGGACTGGAAGGGGGTGTTTCTGGGTTCCTTCCACTTTAATGTGAAAATGAGTATTCTTGGGGACTGCTGTTGACTACCTATTGGAAAATGCATGGAACATGCATAATTTATGGAGCTGATTGCTTTAAAGAGATGCTTCTAAAAATGAGGGTTTTTTGCAAGTCAGGTTGTTCTCAAGGGGAGGCAAGCGTATGGTTATTATTCAGAATTGAAGCCTGCCTGTGAAGTACACAACAAAAAGGAAAGGAACTCAAGGAAATGCCAGAGAAGCAAATTGCTCCCCCCAGTCTCCCAGTCTTTCCCTTTTTGGCAGTCACGGATGGAATGATTGTCAATACTCCTGAAAACCATGCTTGATTAAAGGAATTTTAAGCAGTTATGTTTCTCCCTTGAAACTGTGTACCTAAGTCCCACAAGCTGTATCAGAGTCTCCAAGTTTTACTAGATGGGGGAGGGAATGAATTTGTCAGTGGGAATGGAGACAGGTCCTCTGGATTCATCTTGAGTAGGATTTTATTTATGAAGCTGGTGACTTAATACACCCAAGTGCCAAAGTTAAGAGTGATGAATCACAGGATTACCATTGTCAAAGTCACTTTATGTCCAGTAGAACTGGGTTATAAAAGTGGAGATCTGTGTTGTCCAGAGCTCAAGTTGTACACAGTTCTGAGAAGGGTCTTTCTCAGCTGTCCTGAAGTGGAACCTGGGGCCGTTAGAGGTGGGCTGAAGGATCTTAGCTAGTAGACTCAGGGCGAGGGACAGAGTGTATAGGAACTGGAACTCTTTGGTCACAAGCCAGAACTGGTGGTTTGTGGGAACAAACTGCTGAAAAGAGTCAAGGCAAGTCAAAGTGAACTCCATGTGATAACCTGAACCTTATACTCCCTTAAGAACAGGTAGTTCCAAGGCAAGATATGCTAGGCTTTGAAAGGCCTACCAACAGAGCGGGACATTTGTAACCAGCATATCACTTCCTGAATTGCTTGTTTGTTCCAACATATTAATTTGAATGTCTTCTTTGAAATAGAGAAATCGTCTCCAATTTAGAAAAAAAGAATGCCCATTAAGACTACAGTGCGTCATATGTAGTAGGTTTCTGCAAACCAAAGCTTAAATGGATCTCAAAAACAGCCAGAACACAGACGTAAGTCACAGACAAATAACATATGTGTGGGGTTTCACCTGTCTGATAAAAGCAGAACACAGACGTAAGTCACAGACAAATAACATATGTGTGGGGTTTCACCTGTCTGATAAAAGCAGGTAATGGTGAATGGGCTGTTTTGGGAAACCTACACATAGATGATATACCTCTGAGGAAAACAATCATGAATATATAAAACAGGATTGCTATTTTCTCACAAGCTGAAGTAGAAGATGGGGAAGTATGGCTATGTGGTGTCCGAGGGTATCACAAATACTGATAGCCATACTTACTCTGGTAGCAAGTGTCTGAGCACTTGGCCTTATACAACTCTTTCAATTTACTATTAATGTTATCTATCGCCTTGCCCTTTAAGTGTTTTATTTGCAGTTTTGATTGCTTTCAAAGAAATGGATTGGTTTCTTTGATGTTGTGATTTCTTGGCATTTGAACACACCTTTCAGAGGACAGACTTTAACCAGAGGTGCCGATGAAGACACTGAAGAAGCAGATATACAGGCAAGACCACCATGTCATAACAATTACACAAGGAAAAGTAAAAATTAGGAGAAAAATACCCTTGGTTAAAGGATTTATTTCAAAGTTGGCATCTGTGTATGCAGGCTTGACCGTCAAGGCGTTTTGCCATCTGAACCAAATCTTTCCCGCTAAGCATATCTATCATAGCTTCCCCGTGAGGCCTTTTCCTTATGAAGTATGATTCCCTGATGACCTTGTATTTCCTACCTTTGTGCTGTGGTTATCGCCTTCCTCTAACCTTCAGCCTCTTTCTGATCAGCCACCACAGTCCGACCTCTTCTGAGAAGCCACTCTAGTAACCCCAGCCTGCAGTGCCCTGGCCCGTTCCTGAACTCAACAGCAGCCCGATTCTGGAAGCAGTCAACCTATGCCCTTGCAACACCTACATCTCTGCCACCCAGATCTCTTTCCTCCTGTGCTCAGAGCACAGCTCTATTTCTTGTCTTCCCTGGCAGGTGAATGATTGAGCTATTCCCATCACAGACGCATGCTTCCTGAAAGGCTGTTTCTTACACCCGCACTCTTTCTGTCCTCCACAGTGGCTTGCCAGGAACCTCATTTCAACGTCTTTGGGGACTGCAGTGATATCAAGGGGCAGCAGACTTTCCTGTGAAAGGCTAGATAGAAAAGTATCTTTAGGATCTATTTACTAACTTTAGAAATCACTCTCTTCTTCTTCCTCCTTTTAATTGTTAAAACATTTTCAAATATAATAAATATATTTAAAATTTTTGTTAAAGTCTTAGTTTCTAGAATCAGGCTTTATCTAGCCCGTGGTTTGCTGACCCCTACCTGGAGGAAACTATCTTGAGTCTCAAATAGTATATGGAACATGGTTTCTCTCTCCTTCTCCCCACCTCCACATTCCTCTTCTCTGCCCTTTCAGGTGGGTTATGATGAGAACTGGAGTTCCCCCCTGTGTGTTTTCTTTGACCTACAGGTGTGAGACTTTCTATGTTCAAAACCAGTAAGCCTATGAATAAGTATAGTAGTTTAAAGGGCTGGAGACTCATTTGCCCTGATGAGTCCTCTCCACTACAATGTTGCTTATACTACGCAATTTTCCTCTGCTACCGTGCTTTGCCTGATCATACAGCTAGACAACTTCATGTTCCAGCCATCCTTCCCAGCCACGGCAGTCTGCTGTAGGATCGTACCTTCAGAATCTAGCAGGGGACACTTTGAAGTGGGAGGGAGACTCAAGAGGCAACCTTGGAAGAGTGAAAAGGGAAGTGTGTACTTCACCACATACATCGAATCTGCAAAACTTGCAGCAATTTCTGCAGTGTCGGACATATGAATTACGTTATGCTTTGCTTGGATTCCTCAGTCTCTCATTCTACCTTCAGAAGTTTTTAATGGAAAACAAAAAAAAACAAATAAACAAAACAAGAAAATAATAAATCACATCTGTGAAGTTTCTTACCTTGTTCTTATCCCTAGCTCTAATACAAGGCCACTTGGTGGCAGGGCTTTGGTAGCCAGTCAGTGGGAAGAGGAGTGGGGTATGGAGGACACATGTCACCATGGTGTGGCTCACTCAGCATTGCACTGGGATAGGGTGGTGCTCCTGTATGTCTGAAGGCAGCTCAGCCTCACCTGCACCAATGAGTCCTTTCCCTTTAAAACAGCAGATTGTGTTTGTTTAGACGAGTCTCCCTTCCCATGGTGATGTTTGTTTCATTCCTTGAAACTGCAGACTTCCTTGAGATCAAGTTGTTTTCTTTCTGAAACACTCCGTCCTCGGTTACTTATGTGTGAAGCTGGAGAAACATAAAATGAAAATCAGCACCAAGAGAACGCCAGCCTCCTTGCACCTGTTCTCAAAGCACACTTCCAGAATCCGAGCAAGGTCATTTTCTCAATGCCACACAAAGGGCAGCATTCCTCAGCTGAGTGGTGAGACTAGGTCACAACTTACGGTATTCTTCATAAATTGTGAGTAAAGGGAAACTCAACGATTTCCAACATCTACCCTCCCCGGCAATGATAAATATTTAAAGATATAGGAGTGCTAATCACCTTGATTTGTCTTTATTAAAATGGGTATATGCATCAGATTACCACACTGTACTCTACAAATGCATGCAACTTTTTTTCTTGTGTGTGTGTGTGTGTGTGTGTGTGTGTATGTGTGTGTGCCCATGCATGCATGCATGGGAGCACATGTATGAGTATGTGATATGTATGTGCGTTTGTTTGTGGTTGAGTGGCTACTCAAGTGTGTTCAGATGCCTATGCATATGTGCACATGTGTGTGGAGGCCCAAGGTTTCTCCCAGCTTTTCTACCTTATTCTTTGAGGCAGGTCTCTCAATCAAACCCAGAGCTCACCTATTGTATTAATGTCAGTGGCCAGCTTGCTCTGAGGATCCTGTCTCCACATTACCAGGCAGGGCTGTGACTTGCCATGCCAATCTAGCATTGCATGGATTCTGGGGATCTGAATACAGGTCCTCTTGCTTGTATGACAAACACATTGTCTCCTCTCTATGTAGAGTTTGTAAAAAGATCAATGAAAAAAGAAACAGTGTTTCCATAGCAAGCCTTTGTGTTTTGGATGGGTAAACTCTACTTTCCCAAAACAATATTCATTTTGCACCTTTGGATGGATGAATTAGATCTTAATTCTCAGCAACTATAAACAACTCACTTTTAACTTGTTTATATTTGAGCTTTGGTCCTACCAACTTCTGTTATTTGGTAAGCTAAAGTCAATAAAATACTTAGAGCTATTAATTTGTCTGGGGACCCTGCCTTTTACTCAGTCCTCTGAGATACTGTCCTGTGGACACTTATGAAGCAGCAGATTTACACCTGCATGAAATCCAATGTTTCTGGGTGTCCTGATGTATTCTCCTTAGTGGCTGCATTCTTTTGGTATCTCCCTCTGGGATAGGCCACTTGGTGCTCCCCACCTGAATCTAAGATCTTCCAGGAACCACAGGTGAGAGTGGGCAGTACGGAAGTGAAGGATAGTGTTGCCTGGTCCACAAATAAGCATCTCTGTAGCTTGTTCAAGGGTAATACAGCCTGACCTTAAGTGGTTGAGTAGGATTGGCTGTGTGTCTAATCCTCTCTGATTGCTTTAATTTAACAACTTGCACTGCAATAGTAGACAGGTGTAGGTCTTCTCTGAGCTTCCTGAAGTGCTCATTTCAGAGAAGGCTCTCTGTGTATTAGTCTGATCAATGAGGATTTGTAGCCTGATGTCGCGCACACGCTACCCCTGCCCCAATAGCAGAAGAGCACTTCAGGCTTTGAGTCATGAGACCTGTCTTGGGTCTTGTTCATTTTTGAGAGAATCCACAGAAAGCTACTGTGAAGCAACCATGGTCTTCGATAGCTCATTCAAGCCTCATTGGGTCAGCCACGGGTTATTCTGTGGACATTTGTTCTGTCTCTGAATCACAGATGTTGACACATTGTTTTTCAGATTCTTGATCTCTTTTTTCCCTTGAAAATTGACAGACATGTGGAAAAGTTAATAATTCTGTGAGAATGAATATGCCTATGTCTGAAATAGAGATTTTTTAAGGTCTCCTATTTTTACCATGATTCTTCCAAGAGTACTAAAAATGCAGAGCCAAGCCTAATGTCAGAAAGGTGCAAGAGATTTAGCCCTGAAACCTTGATGCTTTTTCATTTCATCATCAGTGTTTTGCCATTTAGACAACTCTGCCGTGTAATATAGGGTGCACAGAATTTATTAAGGGAAGGGCTGTTTGACAATTCTAGCTCTACAATATCCAACTGTATTTTGTCAAATGACTATTCTCTCCCCATTATTTATGGTCCATTTTGAGGAAAAAATTAAGGGTATAGTAAATGATTTTGTATCTTTCATGAAGGTTTAGATGCAACTCGGATGTCATTATTTCTAAGAATTCTCCAGCTGTTGTTGTTTTTTCTATTTTCTGTGTTTCTCTCATTGATAACTTCTTTTATATTTATGTACTTGTCAAACTATTGCCTCATAGTCCATTAAACAGTGTGCCATTTTCAAATCAAAGATGAGTACTTATTTTATATATGTAGCAAGACCATTTCCCATAGGGGACTGTGCCTGGATCATTCTCATCTATCCCCGTCTCTCATCTTGGGATCTCAGTATAAAGGCCTCTTAAAATGATCTCCATACCTCATCTACGTGTATCCCTGTTATATAATTATACATGCAGCACCTTCACTACATGGAACTCCTGGTCTTGGATTGTGTAGAGACACTCTGTTTGCATTGGGGAAATACAATCCATCTTCTATCTGTGCGACAATCCATCACCAGAATGGTACATGGTAAGTTAGGTGGTGTCTGTTTCTTAAAAAAGACATATTGATGTCCTAAGCCAAACATAGAATTAGTTAAAAAGACCTCATAAGGAATAAATTCTGTCATTAATCACCAAAGATCATTGTAATTACAAGTAAAAGAAAGAATTGGCTCCCATAAGTTGTCTTCTGATATCTGCACATGCAGGCACCCTCACACACCCACTAATGAACACACAAAGTAATTAATGAAAATTTAAATAAACAAAAAAAGTTTTTTGTAATAAAAATGTAGTAAATGGACTACCTTTCTATTGAAATTTCTTTTTCTTTGGCTTGAAATAATAAAATATCAGAAACACACTAGGAGGAAAATATTCACTATAATTTTGTGCACAGGTTTTAGCTAGCATTATTCAATAATTTTAAGACACATTTTCCTGTGTGTGTGTGTGTTGTGTGTGTGTGTGCATTTGTGTGTGTGTGTGTGTAAGTGTTCACATATATGTGTGCATTTGGAGACTGGATGTCAATGTTAAGAGACTTCCTCTACCCCTCCCCATCTTATTTTTTGAGACAGAATCTCTTCCTGAACACAGGGATCACTTATTAGGCAAAACAGGGGCCAGCAGGCTCCAGGGCTCATCTCAATACATTCCCAACACTAGGATTACGAGCGTGTCATGATGCTTACCTTTTTACATGGTTGCACTGAGCCTGAGCTCGGTTCCTTATGTTTTGCATGGCAAGCTCTTTACCAGTTGAGTCTTCTCCCCAGCCCTGTATTTTTCTTTTCCCTTTGCAATGGTAGCATACCATTGGGAGCATGACTGGACACGCAACTGTTGAGCTTCTGCCAATCACAGTCTTTCAGGAAACATTTACATGGCACTTCTAGGAGAGAAAATTCACAGGCAGTGGATTAATGTGAAAATGAAAATGGAAAGACTTTCCAAGTTATTAATTCCCAAAGTCTGTATGTCAGTCAGCTCTCTGTTGCTGTGACAAGATACCCGAGGAAAAAACTTAAACGAGGAAGCGTTAGTCTCATGGTTTCAAAGCTTTTGTTCTGTGTTTACTTGGCTCCTCCATTGCTTTTGGGCAATGGATAATTCAGAATGAATAAACCTGAGAACATGGGGTAGCTCCCAAGTTCCACTCCCTCAACTGGGTTTCAATTACATTTCTGCCTCTCCCCCAATAGTCCATTAAATCATAAATCTATAAATTAATAAGGCCAGAGCCCTCAAGGCCCAATCACGTCCCCAAAGCCCCATCTGTGAACACTGGTACAGATGCCTTTAGAACACATTTCAGAGCTAACCCAGAAAGTATGCTTGACTGAAATGCTAAGACCCTAAAAAGCACAAGACTGAAATGCATTCTGTGTTAAAATTCATTTTTAGTGGTTGCTTTACCCCCCCACACACCAAATGACATCACACAGGAAAAACCACGTATAAGTGGATGTGTACGTGTGCATCTGTGTGCAACGTGACAATAGGTTTTTACTAGGTCCTTTGCGAAGCCACTGTGGCACGATCAGTTTGTACTGACTTCTCATAAAATAGTTTATGTGTGCTTTCATGGTTCCTGGACAACGTGACAGTAACTGGCGCTGTGCTGCATTGTCCTGTAGCTGTAGTTTCCTGCCTGTCTCATCTATGCATAATCCATAGGATAAACAGAGAGACAAATGGATATGCCAATAAAAGAGAAAGCATTGCAGGGCGCCATGTGCAGGGGCTGAGGGCGTTTCCTGTCTCACACAGAGGAAGATCTCACATCACCGCGTGTCATCTATGCTGTCTGGCTCAGTGTCTCCTAACTTCCTGGAATAAAACCAAGCTAAACAAAACAAAAATGACAATTTCTCTGTGTTTTGGAATTCCAAACCCCTGTTACTGGAACACTAAATCTTTTTCAACCTACTGAATACTGCACTGTCCAAGATTAACAATGGTGTTTATGGATTGTTTTTAAAACCTAATGTTTCCAATATGTAGCGCACATAGAGTAGTGACGGATTTTAATGGTATTCCCCAATTCTGATAATCCTTTGCATGGAGAGCAAAATGTTGGCTCATTAAAATTAACCTTTTCATTTATTTCATTTTTTGTAAATGGCTTAAACAAACCTAGTCACCCCTTGAATATCAACTGAGCGTTAGGATGTGAGCAAATAATAGGAAAACATTGAAATGAAAGCAACTCTTACTTAATACTGAGAATCTGTCGGTCTTTTCCAAATGTTCTTGTTGGTCAAATGACTTCTCTGTCGGATACACAGTTTTCATCTGCCTTTGTAGAAAAGTACCTCATATAAAGGAAGGATTATATTTTCCCAGCTCTATCACTGGTGACCACATTGCCATCATCACTTTTCCATCTGTAGGAAATTCAACATCATCTAGCAGGCAAGATGACAAAAGTGTGTGGCTTGCCACCATGGAAAAACTGAGTTGGTTCTGGGTGGACTTGGGGCATTTTTGCCAGGTCACATTCAATGATGCCCTCATGACAGCACAATAAAGGTGAGGTGTATGTGCCCAGGGCAAAGGCACAAAAGGGACTCACAGACAGGAGGTGTGAGTATGCATGCATAAAAAAGATAGAGCTGACTGATCCTTTGAAATCTCTGTTTTAAATGTTTCTTTAAGACCCTGTGATGGAAATTTTTCCACAAAATTTTAGGACAAGCATTGAAATTATTTTCTGTTTGTAGCAAGTAGCGAGATGCATAGAAGTCAGGCATGGTGGTGCACGCCTTTAATCCCAGCACTCAGTAGGCAAAGGCAGCCAGGACTCTGCATTTGAGGGCAGCCGGGTCTACAAAGTTAGTTCCACGACAGCCAGGGCTGTTACACAGAAAAACCCTGTCTCTGGAGGAAAAAAAGTCCATAGAGAATAGAAAATTCACCAACCTAGGGAAAAATTAAGAGGCGCTACCCAACCCAGTGCCCGAATCACGCCAGTAGAAGTGAAAGCTGTTTCCTAACTTGTTGAAGCCAGGTGGCTTTGCATTGCTTTGTGTTTGTTTTGTTTCTGTAGTGCAGGGATGGAACCCAGGGCCTTATGCATGCTAAGTAAGCACTCTACCACTGAGTCATGCCCCCAGCCCAGAATTCCAGTGTATGGACTGCCAGGCTTCTGCTCCAATTCAAATTAATTTCTTTTCAGTTTCATGTGTGGACAGGTCCAGTGACAGTTGCCAGACTTTGTCATTGTCACAACAGATCAGGCTCCAGATATCCTCCGATCCCTATTTTCTTTACTATAAAATAACAATTAAAAATGAAACTTCCTCTTTGACAAGGTTAAATGGGTTTGTCCTTGGACAGTCTTAATAGTGCTTTGTATATTAATTTTGGCACTCTAAAAAATCATGATTTTTTTTAAGCTGTTGTATGCGGGAAGGGTGGAGACCTTACAGTTCAGGTAGATCCTATGATTATTTTACAGATAAGAGAAATTGAGAATTTTAATGAAGGTCAATAATTCTCCAGCAAGTTACCAAGCCAGGGAGTGATGTTGACTGTTGACAGCCTCAGATGAGGCGCAAAGAACACTGAGACCATCCAGTCCTGGAGCTGGCTTCTGTGCCCCTGCTGAGGAGACTCAAAAGGCCCTTGGCAGTGAGGACATTCAGGTGCCAGGGCAAATATCAGTGTAGGTTCGAGTCTGGAATGTGACCTTGGTTTCCTCAAGCTAATTCTCAATCAGTTTTAAGGGTAAGGGCGGATGCTGGGCCCACGCTGACTCACCCCAAACAGGACACTGAGCATGGCAAGAGATCGCCTTGTATCTCGTGCCCACCGCTGTGACCTTGGACAGGTCGTTCACCTCTTCAAGGCTGAGTTAAGGGAGAACTCAGGTCACAGCCTTCACCAGCTTAACTCAGATTGTTCAAAAAATAAAGCAGTGGAATATTTGTTTGTCAACATTCCATTGAAATAAGCCTTACATCGGGGAAAAAAAGTGAAAGTCTTCTAAGTGTAGAAATGAAAGGCGAACACAATTTCAGATTAATACAGTCATCCCACAAGGAAGGCATCTCAGGTCTTATTCGAGCAACAATCACTCTCCCAGGAGAACTACAATGTTCTAACTTTTAATTTCATGGCACACTCTTGCCTATTTCTGAAATGTGTATCAAAGAATCAAACGGTATATATTCTGCTGTGTCTGACTTCTCTCACAAGAACTATGTATGTAAAATCCTGTCATGTTACTTCATATAGTTATAGTTTACTTTCATTGTTATGTGTGTGTGTATACGTATATATGTACACACACTTATATGCACATACAAAAATATATAGTGATGGGCTTACACTCTTGCTTTATAAATGAAGTTTCAATGCAGCATTGTCAGTCTACTTTAATATTGTCAATAGTAGTTTTCACATTCTAATGGCAGATTGTAACTGAGACTGCACACCACACATCTGTAGAATTTGGCTAAACCCCTGCTCTGTGGTACTCTGTGTCTTTATTCATCCTGACCACTCACATCATTTCCAGTTTGGGCATTATTACAAACACTGACACTCTGAGCGTTCCTGTACATGCCTTTTGGAGACATTACTGTTGAGTGTATGGAATCCTTACTAGTTAAGTCCTCATTAAATTTTCATATGCCCCCATATATGGGAACTTTTGCTTTAAAGGTATAACCTAATCCAAAACATTTAAAATATCTTGCCCAAGGTCAGGTAGAAAAGAATGAGCATATGAGAAGTAGAAATTAAACTTGGTGGGTTATACACACATATATACATATATACTACATATATGCACACATCAGTGCACAAAATTGGGAAGGGATTGGGAGGTGAGGGTGGATCTGGAAGGAGTTAAGAGGAGGATGATAAAAATACATAGTGTAAAATGGGCAAAGAATTAAATATATTTTAAAGGAAGAGAATTTTTTAGTAGACATGAGATTGATAACAAAATCCCATTTCTTAGAAGAGGCCTAATTTTAATTTTTTTTTCACATTACCTTGTGAACACTGTTAAAAGACTCTTTACTTATTCTAGGTTCCTTACAAAAATGAATTTTCTCTCTGGCACCAGGTTGTGCATTTCAAGAACTTGAGAGTATTGGGAGAATGAAGTACTTCTTCTCCTCATAGGATAAATGAGTAATCTGAGTCTGAAGATACTTATTGCTGGCCCCAAGTAAGTATTTTGAACTGTAGCTTTCATAATGCATTACAAACTGATTTGAACCTTCCTTTTTCATCTTTGCAGCTAGTACTATTGTGATCCATTGCCATACGCAGTAATTCCTATTTATATGAATGACACCCAGTAGTTCTATGACAAGATGGGAGGTAAAGATACAAGAATTGCTAGAAATTTGTGGACCAGCTAGCCTGGCATATGCCACTAAGAGACCCTATCTCTTTCAATGTGGAAAGTAAGACACCAATACTCCAGGATGTCTACTGACCTTCACATGAACATTGTGGCATGTCTATTCTTGTGCGTGCTCTCTCTCTCTCTCTTTCTCTCTCTCTCTCTCCCTCCCTCCCTCCCTCCCTCCCTCCCTCCCCCCTCTCTCTCACACATACACACAAACATAAACGCGTGCACACACACAATTTTTTCTTAAAAAAAAGGAATGTAGGGCTATTAAGATGGTTTAACAACTAAAGTCGCTTGCTGCCAACCATGGTGAGCTGAATTCAATCCCTGGGACCCACAAGGTGGAAGGAGAGAACCACTTTACACAAGCTGCCCTCTGATCTCAATATACAAGCCCTTGGCATGAATGTGTACACACACATGAAACTAGAGAAAACACTGATGAAAATCTTGGAAGGTGACTTTGAAACCTGCTTGTTAAAAAGTTTCTTCAATTTTTAACATTGTTCAGACAAAAAGAGAATTAGTCAATTAATATCTTACATTAATAGAAAAAATGAAATTAGTAACCAATGAATTGAAATATCAAGGTTTTACTGCTTTAATAAATGTCCTTCTAGTATTCTGTTTTTCTTTGTGCTGCTCTCTACACACAACCTTTATTTTGAATATACCCAGCTCTCAATTTTAAATGTTATGAAGAACCAGAAAGAAGCATTCAAAAGTTTTATTCTGAGCTTTATTATAGGTGTAAAGAAAACTAAATTTTAGTATTTGTTTAATGCTAATACATTAACTGATTTTTTTTTTCCTCAACCCCATGAATGATTTGAATTTTAGGCCTTTTGACTAAATTGTTTTTATCTACAAATGTAGCCTTACATGCTTGTTTCCAAAGGTAAAATATCTGGGTTCAAGTAATTAAAACAGAACTTTTGAGCATATCATTCCATTTATAAGCTAGATTTGGCATAAAATGGCTCAAACACTAATACCTGCTATTGCAAACCTTTGTATTTGGTGGGGAATTCTAATAATCCCCCCCAGTGGACTTTAACCCTTATTTCCTTTGAGTTTATTCTGGGTAGTGTCTGCAAGAAGAGTAGAGTCTATTTTGGTTAAGGACACTGTTCTTGTCCTAGGGAGGAAGTGAGCACACTGTCTCCAGCCCCCAAGCAGCTAGACAGGTCAGACAGGCAGTTCTGTCAGCCAGGCTCCAGGAAGGCTTCTCCTGTCTCATGGAACAACCAAACAATTGTTACTATTTACAATGGGCCATATGCAGAAGTATTCTTAGAACAATGAGGAAAGGGAAAGTCGGCCACCAGGCAGGAAAGAAGGCGTTCGAGCCACAGCAAGCTCAGAGAATGCGAATGCCCTTTAATGTAAACAGCGGGTTGCAGCACTCGTCCAGATAACAATGTGCGGGTGCTTGCCGTGTGCCAGGCACTTGACATACACTATTGTCTCTGGTCCCATAACCACTTCACCAGACCATCATTATCCCAATCTAATCTTTGAAGAAGCCAAGGCCCAGAGAGATGCTAATAGCAGAAACACATTCCCAAGGGTGCCAAATATTGTAGTCAAGTCCCAACTTATCTAAATCCGAGTCTATGTATTCTTAGCTACCACTCCTAAAAATTAAAAATAGAGGAAAAGTTGCACATCTTCGAGAATGAATCCATAATCTTGTTACTAAAAGCACAATGCAGTACAAAGAGCAGTAACAGTTTGAAATATGCTCTTTTTGAGGCCCTTTGAATTTCACAGAGGCACTGGGAACTTGAAGAAAGCTTACTGAATGCTGTATGTGACAGACTACCAGCCTCCCTTGTCATAGTCATAATGGTTACCCTTGGATCGCTCCCCAACTATGGAAATGACATACAGGACAATTTCTTTTTCTGCTTATAGGGACTTTAAATCTTATAGAAATGTGTGCAGAGACTCAAATTAACAATAACCAAAATATAGTAATTTGCTGGGCAACTTGGATTACTGGCTGTACAAGTGAAAGGGGGCTTTAATGTTTGGTTTGGGTGTTCCTAGTAACTTCCAAAGAAAGGAAACAACTCTTT